GCTCAGTTTGGCCAGACGGCCAGCTCTAGGAAGGGTTCTGGTCGTCCCAAACGTCTTCCATTTACGGATTATGGAGGCCACTGTGCTCTTGGGAATCTTAAGTGCAGCAGAAATTTTTTTGTAACCTTGGCCAGATCTGTGCCTTGCCACAATTCTGTCTGTGAGCTCTTCAGGCAGTTCCTTTGACCTCATGATTCTCATTTGCTCTGACATGCAGTGTGAGCTGTAGGGTCTTATATAGACAGGTGTGTGGCTTTCCTAATCACGTCCAATCAGTATAATCAAACACAGCTGGACTCAAATGAAGGTGTAGAACCATCTCAGGGATGATCAGAAAAAATGGGCAGCACCTAAGTTAAATATATGAGTGTCACAGCAAAGGGTCTGAATACTTATGACCATGTGATATTTCAGTTTTTCTTTTTTAATAAATCTGCAAAAATGTCAAAAATTCTGTGTTTTTCTGTCAATATGGGGTGCTGTGTGTACATTAATGAGGAAAAAAATGAACTGAAATGATTTTAGCATATGGCTGCAATATAACAAAGAGTGAAAAATTTAAGGGGGTCTGAATACTTTCCGTACCCACTGTAGGTCTGCTGTCGATACAAGGCCTGAATGAGCCGCTGAATATCTGCTCTTTGCCCTGGATGACAGGAAGATTTAAAGGCAGTGCAAAGGTGCATCAGGTCCAGGTCAGAACCACCTGTCGGGGGACTCAGTGGACTTATGACACAACCTGTTACAGAATGACATATGTCGAGTGTGAGCTGACACCAGTGAAGCAGGAGCAAGCTATGTTTAGATTGTGTGAATGTGTCTGTCTACATACTGAACAGCTGTGGCTTCACCTATTTAAAACCTACACACACAGACACAGATGTCACGACATGCCAGGAAAGGCTCTGAGTCATGTTGAGACTGCGCGTGTCGAACCTCATCACCGTTTGGCAAAATGTGTTTGTACAGACACTGGTCAGAGTCCTCACCTGGTTTACTTATTCTTTAATCAGATGCAGTACTTGTGCTACTTATCATTACTGGTTACGTATTCAAATCTGAATTTTTCCACTTTAACTCTGAGCTCTGATAAGTTATAACATTTACTTTCTGGATTAAATGATTCATTGATTAATCAACAAAAGAGCATGAATGACCGAATCCCTGTTCGCAGCCCCGGAACCATCCCAGGATTACAACTCACTGTAATAACCAGGACACAATGAATTAAAGACAAAGGTGGGAAACTTGTTAAATGCAGAAAACTGCTCTGCAAAGAGACGTAGTTGGTTTGCCCTGTGCACATCTCTGTACATGATTTTAACACATATATTTTGTATCTAAATATTCCCTGAATGTCTAGTGTTCTGCAGCAGAGTTACAAACCTAAAATATACTGATATCAGCATGATGACGACACCAAGTGGTCATGTGATCCTAACACCGCGTAGTCACGTGGTTCCACGACCACAGCTACCGACTGTATTCATTATCAATTTGTCTTTTAGTCTATAAAAGGTACGACAATATGCCATGCTAACAGCTCTGTGAGACTACACTCAGGCACAGCAAGGGTCTGAGCTAAATGCTAGCAGGTGAAATGTTTACCAGGTTCACCATCTTAGTTTAGTGTTATCGTGCCAACATTAACTAGTTAGCAGAGTAAGCTGGGGCTGATGGGAATCTCATTAGTTTTGCAGGTTAAATCAAGTGTATACTTTGAGCTGATGATGGTGCTGATGAAAAGTTAAAGGATCACCAAAGCTATTACAACTCAGCCTGAGGGGAACACGAATGTTTGTACCAAAACACATGAAATCCCTCCAACAGCAGTCGAGTCCTTTCAGTTAGGAACAAACAGCATCACCATGCCTAGAGCACTGACTCAGTGCTACCACAGTGTGCAGCCAACATTTTTAAATAACTGGCACCTGGAGAATGTCACTGGGCCCATCCAAGTTGTGGCGGTAACAGTTTAGCCTGGACCAAAATGGTGGAGCGACGGAGTGACACTGCCGTCAATCAGGCTGCTAGCATGGGTCATCACAAGCTCCAAGAACCCAAAGTGACATCTTGTTTTGCCCAAGTAACACTGAAGAAGCTGAAACAACTGAAAAAAATGTGTACCCCACCCCTCGCCCACTATCAGCTGGGATTGGCTCCAGCCCCCCGGCGACCCTATTCAGGAATAAGGGGTGTAGATAATAGATGGACAGATGGATGTTATGTATATAATTAAATGCCTATCAGACTACTGAAACGCAAAGCTCTCAGCCAACTGTAGCAACACTTCATTCAAAACAAAGCAGTATGGATCAGGATAATCCTGCTGCACCCTCATCAGACTGACTGAACTTTGCTGCTTTGGGTTCTAAATGATTGACCCTGACATTAAGTTAACTCTTGGCATGTCCTCCAGTCTCAGTGCAGCTCACCGATCTGCTTGGCCACGGCGTAGGCCTCCTCCGAGGAGCTGGCCACCATGCCAGCGGGCACAGAGATGCCGGCCTCTTTCAGCAGCCCAATGCTCATGTACTCGTGTATGGAGAGGTTCCTCTGCTGCTGCTGCTGCTGCTGCTGCTGTTGGGGTACATGGCTTCCAAACAAACCTGAGGAAGCACCGAGGACCTGGAGCAATAAGAGGAGAAAGAGGGATGAGGAAGAGGAGGGTGCATGTTTCCTTTGTTTTGTTGTTGTTTTTTAATTTGATGAACCCAATATTATTTTTAATGTCTGTTTGCCACAGGGGTTGCATTCACTTCTTATCACTTATCACAAATATACTAAATATATTTGCCCAGGCATGCTACTTTGCAACCTTTACATACAACTGCGTCCAACTTGTGGTTCAATAATACAGAATGGCCTCATAAACAAACAAACTGACACCTCATATCAGCTAAAGTTTGTAGTTCAGTGTAATCTGACTCATATTATTACCTTAATATAAGCAACTGTATTTACAATTTAAGTTTCATTTATATTTGAAATATTTGTTTCTATATCAGAATCACCTGTCTGTCAGTAAGAAACAGCACAGGTGGAACGGAGCTGTGCATCTGTAGATTCCTGACACACAACAACACACACATATAAAAATCATCTGCAGTAAAAACAAAACCACCCTGAGTGACCTTCTTACACCAGAGGAGAAGTGTTTGCGTTCAGCAACAGTGGAAACTTGACAAAGGATCTGAAACCAAGACCGTGTGGTTCAAATGTTTCTCAACAAGGCTCAACTCGAACTGAGTCAGCTGGACATGAGACTGAAGGAAACCTCACAACCTGGGAAAGCCAACTGCTGGTGTATGTGCTGTTGCATCAGTGTTTACTCAACACACTGATGTGCTGCTCAGCCTCCCGGTGTGATCAATACAGGGCAAAATACACCCACGGACAGAGCAAAAAGGCAGCATGGTGTTAGATTCACAGACACTTTGGGCTCCAGTTTTCATTCTAATACACAGCACACTTAATAAACATGACAGATCATGTATTTGCATCTGTACTACAGCGAGCTGCATTGTGCTTCACCATTTCACTGTTGACACGTTCAAATATGGAGAAATATGGACTGTAAATAAATGTATAATTCCATGATTTTAACTTGATCTGAAAAACACGCAGAGGCGGTGGAGGCACATTTCCCTCTGAGAAGTGTCCCCAGGTATTCCTTTCAGGCCGCATACAGCCCCAACAGTCTGCATGTGTGGTTTTGTATGCAAGACATTCACTTGTTGTGAAGTACTTTTACAGAGTCATCTTGCTACGTGGACTTCCAGTGATGGAAGAAGTATTGAGTGCCTTTATTCATATGAAAGTGTCAATGCAACAGTGTAAAACTACTCAGTAACACCTTTTTTCCAAATAAAACTACCACTAAGAGATTAAAAATGACTACAAGCAGACACAAATGTCTGCTGTCTCTCTTAGAGTCTGGGGTTTTGCACATAATTTGTCCAGGGCTGTAGGATACATGGAATTAAAATTAGCAGCTATTTATCTATATCGTTTCATACTAGAACACATAAAGGTGCTTATATTTACTGACAAGAACTAGGGCTTTACATCTGAGCCCCTAATCAAAACCACAGGCATTTGTTTTATATACCTACAGATATTTTCAGTCAATCACAAGGCCCACTTGAACCCTCAGATTTCTCAGCTACAGGACTTAATTACACCTTGTACAACACCTGTGAGACGTAGCTACACGTGTTTAACAGCAACACATTTTCCACCCGCCACGACTTGTTAACCTGTAAATTAAACTAGATGGCACAAACCAATCTCCTCTGCTTTTCCCGTGTGCCGTCAGCCTTTCTCTGCAGTGAAAACCGCTGTACGTCCCTCTGAGGCTGAGCCGATTTGTCCACAAAACTTTACAGATGTGACAGATGTGATGGCGCAGAGGAGAACATGTTCACTGTGGGTTTTCACCTCCAAACACACAGTCAGCCCACAGATACAACAGGATAAAAAAAGGCTAAAGGGATTGCGCGTAAGTTATATTATCCAGTGTTTCTGCTAGATCACTTCAGATCAGCGGACAGCGTTAGCTCCGCGCTAGTTAGCATGTTAGCCAAAACAACGGAAACTCAATGAATGTCAAATTTGACCCTGTCGGTTTTTTTGGACCAGTGTAGCCGTCAATAAAATTGCAGCGTCGTCACAGACAACTGCTCCTAAAGCCGAAGACCTTAGCTTCCTCTTGGGCACCCACTCACCTTGGAAGCGGAGCTGATAGTGTTTCTGGCACCTGAGTTTCTCAGGCTAGCCGTCAAACGGCCGCAGAGCAGAGACGCCGCCATGTCTCCCTCTAGACTGCAGGAATTAACACACATGCGTAGTGGACTGCCAAGTCGGGAGTCCTCTGTGCTGCCTTCAGGCACTGTCGAAAATTATATACTCCTCTCAAAATAAACGCTCAAAGTAAACTGGTCATTAAGTACTTTTACTGAAGTACTATACTGAAGCACAATTCTGAGGTACTTGTACTTTTAGTACTTCCATTTTCTACTACTATATATGTCCATTCTATTTCAGATGGAAATTTGCACTTTTACTCAGCTACATTAATGTGACAGCTGCAATTATTTAACATAAAAACACGACAAGTTTATGATAATGTGTAGTTGTTTTATGTCTTGTATAAAAACTGTGTATTGTTTCTTCTCTGAGATGTTTTCAGTTGTACCATAGAGAGATTTCCTCTCTAAATGTCTGTTTCATTTCTGTTTAATGATCAAATATTTCACAAAAAAATCAAAGATTAGTTATAATTCTATAAACTGAAAACAGATATTTGTAGCCTATCAGATATATCTCATGACCCTGTGAAGGATTCCAACCCCTACTATGACAAACTAATAATGTCAGATATGAAGGTTTTTCAGGAACAAGGGCCAATATTTTAACAATACTTGTGTAGTTTTACTTAAATAAAATTGTCAGTGCTGGACTTTTACTTGTAATAAAGTGTTTTAACATAGGTACTTTTAAATAAATGTTTGGAGTACTTCTCCCACAGCTGCTGAGATACCAGATGGGTGCTTCAAAGTAACCCAGCTATTCTTGGCATATTAATAAAATCTAAAACATACATAAAACTCTTACTGCTAGAGTTAGGATAGCTGCTGTTTCCTTTTAAACAAAATACACACTACTTACTTGTGACAATCTCTGACACTGAAAGTTTACAAAGAGATCCTGAACGCAGCACCGGCGCGACCTTGTAAACATAGTCTATTGTATATTCAGTCAACAGGGTGGGAGAAGTCTTGTGACCCTTTACTGAAAAGTCCAATAAAACGTAAAACACTTCATTACAAGTAAAAATCATGTTTTCACATCCTGCATATGCACATATAGTACAGCAGTATCACTGAAAATATTTTCAGTAAAATGTACTTATAGCATTAAAGTAAAAGGTCCTCTGACTGATATCTGATGCGGTCAGATTATTGAGCCTTAGTAATAAAAGCTTCAGCAACATTTTACTGCAGGTTTTAACTACTTTACACTTTGCAGGATTGGTCAAGTGGTTTCCAACCCGTGGTTTGGGCCCCTCCACCTGATAAATTTGAGGTGTTGTCGCAATTCATGGGAGAAAAAAAAAAGAACAGCCATTCAGATGTGCTCCACTGTTTTCAGTTTTTGGACTGCAACTGCAGTGTATATGTCCAAATAAATGTAATGAAGTAAAAAAAAAAAAAACAAAAAAAAAACCATATTTATCAGTCTTAGTGTCATTAAAAGTTAATTGATTCAACAGCTAAAGCTGTGCAATAAACATTATAAAAGGTACAATATATCCCAATATTTTAGTCCATGCCATTTATATTTGTCACACAGAAAAACCAAAAACAACAAGCCTGTTCTGTGGTATATAGTGGATACAATGACTTGTGGATTTCAACTTATTTAAGAGAAAACAGTTTTCCTTTTCCACACAAGATGAAAGGTACACCATGTTATTCAACCACACCAGCTTCCATTTCACTCTCTCTGCAGGTATCACCATCTTAATTTCCCTCAGGATCAATAAAGCAGCTATTTATCTATAAGTACTAGTTCTGGTAATGGTTCATGGAATCTTTACATATGAAGACATGAGCACACATAGCATGGCTCTATTAACTGAGCCAGGTGACCCAAACAGGGCCACACTCATAATCACAGATGCAGTTTCTATTCAGAAAGTATTTATTTACAAGGCCGAGTATGTACAAGGTTATTTACAGAGGTAAATGAGGAGCATTTGTCCATACTGTTATAATTACACGAGTGAGAGCACACAGGCTGCAGCTGAGTGATGTCACATACACTGCGCTTCCAACAGGGGTCACCAGAGAGCAACAGGAGTCACTGCGGCTTTGGTTTTCTTCCTCTAGTCTCAGTGGGAGTTTTCACAAAGACAACAGTTCTCTCCTCACACAGAGGCACAGAGAGGGACTTCTTCTGTTTGTTTTACTTTGCATTCAGTCTCTTCAAGCTGCAAACTAAGGTTAGAAGCCACTCTTTGTCAAACTGGTGCAACACAGGATGTTGCAGGAAAAGCTGGAAATATGCTTATTTACTTTCCTCCTTGGAAGCAGCCCAATCCCATTCTGATATCAGTGCACCAAATCTGAAGCTAAAGCTATAGCCAGCAGCTGGTTAGCTCAGCTTAGCATAAAAACTGGAAACAGCTTCCCTTATAATTATAACCAAATCACAAAGCCCTTTCTTGGAAACATCCCTGTAATTTACAGCTGGTTTGTATGAAATGAGGAAATTAGCTCTAAAACACAGGGTCTTTGAAAGTGTTACCACAAAGTAACAACGCAACAATCCTCAGCCAAATGAGATGCGAACAAAACGAATGCAGCTGATGCTACTGTTCCAAGTCAAGACAAGAGTGGAGCCTTTTTTGTAAGAGGAAGACTAAAACCTCTGAACAGACTCATTCTTCAAACTTAAAGAAATGGTGGCACCTTTTAAAATAAGAATAGTGGGGAACTCCAGACCTCAGCCGGCAGAATGATAACAAATGGTTATGGTTTAATGATAAAGGAGCCTTTATATTGATCTTTAAATCAATGTTTTTCCTCTACTGTCACACTGAGGCAGCACTGACAGCAAACCCAGAACTTCTCAGCCTCTAGAGCACATATACTTCGAGTATATAGATATGAAAGATTTTAAATTAACCTTAATTTTGTCCTTCCACATACTTGTCTATCTATGAGTCTTAAATGATGTTGTTTGAAATGACCAGAGGTGAAGAGTCCTGAGATCGCGCTGCTCAGTGGCGACCTCCCGCCCACTCTCTGTCCTTCAGTCAGAGTCACTGCTGCTGCTGGAGGAGTCAGTCGACATGGCCTCCACGTCATCCTCGTTCTCCTTGTTGTGACCCGGAGGCTCCAGGCCGAAGTCATTGCCATGCTGGGGAGGAAGCATCCCCACAGAGACGTCCGAGGACTGCCAGGGGTAGTGAGGTGTCAGGACATCTGAGGAGACACGGGAGGGGTGGACATACAGTGTGAGACAGAGGCTGGAGCTGTGCAGACCTATGGCACGGTCATGGTTTGCATTTATGAAAGCAGCTTCTTAAATATCAAATTATGTCTGTTGTTACACAAAACAGTGGAAATGTGTTTGTTTCTTTTCTAGAAATATAAACAGCAACTAACAGATGTCATGAAACCTCACCAATAGAGGTCTGACGATACACTTAGCCCACGAGCAGGGATGATACACAATACCGGATTCATGAGGAGGAGACGATATTTGAACATGCCGCCCACACACAATCCCTCGCCCCCCGACCAACGCAGCAGGGAGTTACGTTTTTGCCTGACTAACTTGAATATACAGTCACTCTGTCATGCTGGCTGCTGCTCTGGTTCTGTTACGTACTGGTATCGTGAGACAGCTATTCACATCGACGAGAAATATCATCACATTTTAATATCGTGACATCTCATCACACTCCTACTTAAACTATAAAAATATTCAGTACATGGACTCAAAAGGATTCGGATTGGGTACTGGATTCAGTTTGGACAAAATGTTATCAAATCCCATCTCTGATCAAACTACACATTTACACATACACACTGAGATACAGTTTCTGCTACAGTAATATTCCAATAGTTGTGCTGAAGTCCAGGACTGACAGACAAGTGACCACAGCTGGCACAGACTGCTGGGATGTGCACATGTGCACCTGGCTGTTGCTGCAAGATACTTATGACAAAATGAGGAGGCACTCTGAACTTGTGTACAAGTCGCTGAGCAGCCCTTCCCTCAGTCTTCACATGGACGTACCTGGTAACCTCCCAGCAGCCAGAGCGTCACCTGGCAGGTGTCCGTTCATGCCATTGGTTGGTAGGTTGGCCATGTGACCCAGCATCCCACTACGCATTTCCAGGTCAGTAGGGTAGGGCCGGCGTGGATCACCTGAGGCAACATTTATGTTCAGAGTTAGTGAAGTACAGGCTGAGCTCTGTTGGTCACAGCGGCGGCTCAATGGCTCCTACCTGGCACCCAATTGAGAGGAGCACACACTGCGTTACTGGCACTGATCCTGTGAGCGTATTTGATGATTTCTTCTGATGAGATGCTTCCTGCACACAAGTAAATGAGCTCAGCTCACAGACAACCCACAAGACACAAACTCAGAGTCAGTATTCACCAGTAAGTGTTAGCTCACCTTTCCTGGCTCTGTCAATGGATTTGAGTTTTTCTTTGGCCTGGTAAACAGCAGTGGCCTTAAAAGACAGAAAAGGAGCCAGTTTATATCAGAGCAACGTAGGGATGTGTGTGAAACAGACTGAATTGAAGAACATCTCTAGAATTTGTCTCCAAGGTTACAGACAGGAAAATGTCTGCTCAACAATGTTAAACCATTACTGGACCAGATGTTTTAAAACGGTAAACACAACTGGATGGTCCATGATGGTTTTCTAAAGTGTAAGGTTAGAAGATTAGACAGGTATAAGACAGGGCGCCCTGGACACACAAACAAGTATCACTTTGTGTCTACTGTGACTACAGCTTGAAAACTGGCACAGCATGTGCTCTCTGGATTAGCTTTTCTAAAATACATCAGTCTTCTCTATTGCTTCTTGGACTGTCCTTAAATGCATCATTATGAAGATCTCTGGAAACAGCACGTTTCCCCAAAGATAAGTAACAAATAATGAAAGAAATATTCATGGTTTCAGTTTATTCTGAGCCCTATTTTAAGCCAAGACCAACTCACCAGGAGGTGTTCTGCCTCCTTCAGCTGCTTCTGGAGCTGCTGGATGTCGCTGTCTCTCTTCTCCACCTCCTTCTCCAGCAGCTGCATCTCCTGGTGCACCTTCCCCTGCTGCTGAGCCACCTCCATCAGCTCCTGGAACTCCCGGTCCCGCTGCACCAGCAGCTCCAGGATCTGCGGACGACACATAGCCCGATAGCCACAGCACGTGTTAAAGGCACCGCACGCGTTAAAGGCACCGCACGCAGACGCGCGTCACAAACAACAGGAGCGGCGCGAACTCAGTGCGAGACTACGAACATCGGTGAGTACTTCAGAATTTATGCTTCCGACGCGCGTCAACGCCGGGAAAATATGACAGTAGCGTATTGTGAAGCGTTGACGCGCGTCAGGTCGCCGTCGGTGTGCTGTACCCTTTAGTATCCCAGTCTGTCTGTTACTGGATCCAGAAGCGGCTCCGGGTCCTTACCTGGGTGTCCTCTCCCGGCTGAGGCAGTTTCTGACCCCTGGCCAGAGCCAACATCTCGATCAGCTCCCTGAAACACACACAGAGGGGACCCAAAGAACGGCTGATGTTAGAGAACAAAGTGGCTGAGGAGGGGCTTAACTGGTCAAACAACAGCTGCCTAAACCCCCGAAATCTGCGACACCAGAAAACAACTGACTAAGATTCACCGTTACCGGGATAAAACCTCCAAATCATCCAGCACAGACAACAGCTGCTCTTTCGTTGATATCTCCGCTGCCATGTTTAGTCCTTGTAGCTTCTGCACAAGACAGGAAGTGACGTTGATTTCTTCTTCTTTTGCTGTTTGCACAGGTGGATTCATGTCTAGTAATGTATACATGGGTGGACTCCTGTGAAGCAAACATCCTACCATAGGAACTTAAAAAGTTGGGAGGGTTTATGATCTGGTTTACTCTCTGGATTGCCAGCCGGAGGCGCCCCGACGCTGTGAGGGACTGAAGGCCATCTACATGCCACAGCCAATAAATTGGCACGACTGCTTACCTGGACTGGGCACTGGAACCTTTACAGTCTTTAGGCATCTGACGCATCATTTTTTCATAGGGTTTGTAATAAATTGACTTTTTCTAACCTCGAACTCTCTGCATGCTGTTTTGGTCAGCAGAACTCCCCAGCAGAAACTCAGTTTGTTTAGTCACACCCGACACCGGGTAACAAAATGAATACTTTGTCTGTGGCAGGTGGTTTTAACATTATAAAGGATCCTCTTGAATAATAATAATTATTTTGGTTATCTAAAATGGCATTTAGACTAGTCGAAATTGCAATATGACTAGTCAAAATGATAAATCAAGATATCTACAATTCTATCCGGACAAACAAGAATGACAATTTTAGATATCTACAACTGCATTTTGACTAGTCACAATTCCTTTTTGGATATCTGAAATGATGTCACTGCGCCGTTTTAGCATTTACTATGTTAACAATTCATATTACAGATATCTACAATGTATTTATGGCTAGTCAAAACTATAAGATATCTCTAATTCAATGACCTCAGCCTCAACATGGACAAGATATCTTAAATTATAGGTTTGACTGGGCATAAATATATTGCAGATATTTTAAATGCAAGTCTTGCCCACCTATTTAATGTCAAAGGGCTTGCCATTCGTCTTCCACCACTGCGCTCAACGAAAATGTTGCCAGGTTTTAGAATTATGCTTTTATCTTGAAATCAAACCGGAAACCGAACTGCTAGTCTTATACGGCCGTTATCTCAACAGACCAGAGTTGGCCGGACCCTATCGGAAAAGTCGTATCGCTTGACTTCCGAGCAAATTCTCTCTGTTTTCTTTGTTTTGCAACTTTTTTTCGTCGTAATTTTTCTCGACAGGAGTTTGTCGGCGCTTGTTCCAGGATGGTTAAAGTGTCCTTTAACTCTGCTTTGGCGCAGAAAGATGTGAAAAAAGATTCCGAAACTCTTATTCCCACAGAGGACAAAGTGAGTAGAAAATGGCTAACATAGAGTTAGCTCAGAGCTTGGTGTGAAAACACGTAGTTTATAGACGCGGATTCAGTTCTGTTTTATTACATTTATATCATGTTTTCACAGTTTCTGCAATTTTCAAACACTTAAAACAAACTTATTGAATTTCTTACATGTAAATACACGGTTTTTTGGTGTGTTATGGTAACGTTACTTAATTCGTGTTGGGCTACTTCCTCGTGTGGCCTTTAACGTTTTTTGTTACGCATTTATAAACGTACTTGTCGACTGCATTTTAAACTGTAAAACATGTTATAGAAAGTCTAATTGTTCATGTCAGGTTTTTTATCTTTTGCTAAAGGTCGCAATTATTACGTTTTATTTCGTTGTATTTGTTTGTTTGTTTATGAAGGAAAGTTATCTTATGGTCACAGCTGGGAGGTAGTAGCGAAATATTTTATTTTATTTATTTTTAAATATCGTTTAGCAGTTTCTCCGCCAGAAAAAGATGTGATCATGTGCAGAGAGAAGCTCTTTTACTTGAATATTCAGTAAATACTTGAACAGTAGAATATGAAAGCTGAAGGTTGTTCATTTCCTGTTGACCAGTTTCTATTCTATTCTGTTTTATTCTCCTTTATTCTATTTTAGTTCCTAAATGTTATGGCACCCAATACTAGGTGAGAGAGAAACGGTATTTCGATTTTCTGTATGTCCTGCACATATGGTGACTTGACAATAAAATCCTTGAACCTTTATTATTATAACAACCTCATGAAGTCTGTTTATATTTTGTCTCATCGAAACCTTGCTCCAGATCTGTCAGCTGGCCCCCTGTGAAAGTTTTCACCATGACACAAAACAAAATTCATGCACGTCAGCTGCGGCTGTAAACTTTACCGAATCTTTCACACTTCCTGGTTGCCATCCTGATCAGCTGTAAATAAGCTGTTTGATTTTTAACACAGTAGAAACATGTGGGTTATATGCAGAGAGGCTTTATGTCAGAGTCCTGGAGGAGTTATGAAATCAGTTTTACTCGATTGAAATGCTTGAAAATGTCCATGGAATTGAGGATAAGTACAGTATTTCTAGTTTGTGATTGCTATAATGGTTGCACGTGCAAAATTGTCATTTTTCAGTGATACTTCTGCAGTATGTCTCAGTACTGATTGAGAAGAGTGGTGTGATGTGGCTCTGCAGAAGGACTCTGTGCTCCACAGTGCTTCTGCTTTCATTTCTATTTTACCCATTTGCTGTTGTGTACTTTACACTTTTGGTTTCCTATTGCCACATTTGCTTTGCATGTGACTGGTTTTCCTGCTAGCTGCTTCTCTGTTTTGCTGCACCACAGAGACACACTCTGCTAAACAGTCAGGTTTTTTTTCTTGGGCCTTGGGGGTTGCTGTCAGCTGAGCTGTGTTGTCAGGATGAAGGCTTTAGAAGCTCCTCCTGCCACAGAGGAAGTCTCATGCTGTTGGACAGACCTGTTTCCTCAGCTATGGCTGCGTTGCTCTCTAACAATGAGATACAGACTGAGTGGGGAAGCATAAGATGTAGGTGACAAGCTTTCATAGATGGGTGGTCTCCTGGCTTGACTCCATCTGATCCCTTTGTTTCGCTCTGTCTTCATGTGTGGTGATGGTGCAGTGGTGGCCCGGGCTGGCCCTCGCCACCGTCTCTCACTCTCACTCTGCCTCTTATTTCCATAATCGCAGCTTAATCTTTTCCTCCGGGGAGTAGAAGGCTGTGTGAACACAGCTGCTTCTGTGCTTTTCCAGCTTGTTTGGGGGACCTTCCTGCCCTCAGCAGAGGGCTTTCATCTTTAGAGCAAGGTCGTCATACACCCATTTTCAGTTTATTAGGAACACCTAGCTCAAACTAAGTGAGTCTAATCAATAGTCCCGCAGTGAATCCTTCTTCGTGAGGGTGATAATGTTCAGTTTGTGTTCAGGCTATTTCATAGAGGTGTTGATTCACCTGTGGGATCGCTGTGGAGGCTTGTGTTGGTTCTGAACTGGTCTGTGTTTCTCGATTCATTAGACAACAGGCAATTAGCTCAAATATGTTTTGCTAATATGCTTGTGGCAGTCATGTTTAGAGTCTCCACTAACTGTTTTTCTTATGCTGACATATCAGAAAATAGTGAAACTGTCGGCAGGGATGTCTGAACAGTCCCAATATTTGTCAGACAGGTGATCCAGTCAACATTCAGGGTGTGTGCCTGACTTTATCTGCTACGCATGTGAATATAATGAGAAACCACGGTGAAATTATTTTTACTTTCTCTTTCAGTTTAGTTTAATGTTGTCTCTCAGCAGCCCTTTGTCATGTGCATGTTTGTCTTTCTCTTTCATTTGAATGGAATCCCTGTCTCAGGTTTTAACCAGGAAGCACACAGACAAATGATGGTCTTACAGTTCAGTTAGAGGAGGCAGAGAAAAAGAAAGATCAGGCCCAAACCAAAACACACAAAACATATGTCTGTGCTAGTTACAGTGCTTCTCTGCTTCAGATGTATTTAGTTCAGGCTTGCTTTGCTGGCTGTGCAGAAGGATTCTCAGTGCTCACCTTAAATCGCAGTTTACACTTGGATGTGTTGATTTGGTTCCATCACAACAAGTCTGGAGTCTGTGCTGGTCCATTATGAAACTTACTCTGGTTTGATGTGGAAACTGGAGGCTCCAGGTAAAGCAAAGCAGTATTTATACAGCACACATAATTCAAGGAGAGACTCGGTGCTTTCCCGTTACAACAAAAGCAGCAATTTGTGGAAACAGCATTCAGACTCACTGTGTGTAACCCTGCAGGCTAAAACATTTGAGTGGTATTAATGATAATTAATGATATAGGATCAACATGAAAACAAATATCTCCATATTTATACAATGTGGAGCAAGATCATTTAGGGTTTTATAGATGAGAAGTAAAATGGTGTAGTCCAGTATGAAGCTGAGCGGTAGCCAGCGCGGGGAACTGAGGATAGATGTTGAGAACATATGTGTTCACATTTGTTCTGAATGCAGTGTTTTGGATCAGCTGTGGTCTGCAGCCGTGTGTCAGGTGGACCGGTGAGGAGGGTGCTGCACTTGTCCCACCAACAGCAGAGCAATGCATACAGAAGCTTTTCTTCATATGCCTGAGATGAGAATCAGGTCTTGTGATGTTGGCGACATAGCCCTGGCATGTTTCCATGACGCCCAGATCCAGGACCTGTGTGGTTCTTGTCGTGGAAGAGCAAGCATACTTGGTGCTGCAGACAGCTTTCAGTCACCACCGTCAGCGATCCACCTGTCACCTGCATGTGCTGCAGCGAGCTCATTCGCTACTGCTTGAACTTTAGTAAGAGCCATAGACTGCCTATAAAGATGGAGGATGTGACAGCTCCTAGAAGTGAAGCCACCACATGTCGATCACCCCCTGGAAGCTGGCTGCACTTTAGGTTATAAACCCTGCCCCCTCCATGTTAGTGGATGGAACATGAGCTAAATGGTTAGAGCCGTTAGATGGTTAGAGCCGTCGGTTGAGGTGGCGCCGCAGATGGCTGCCATCGGTTCTGTACCGGAAACAAATTCCTTGTGTGTAACATACTTGGGCAATAAAGGTGATTATTCTATCCTATTATTATCCTAAACTAAAAAGTCAAAGTAAAAACCAAATTCATTTTTCATTATCATGCTGATTTGGCTACACGCGTTCATTTTCTGATACAGTCAGTGCTTTTAATAAGTTGTTTGATGGTATTAAATGGGTGTATTTTGGATGATTGACAGCTTTACTTGACGGTCTGACACCACGGCTCCACTTCTGGTCGCTACTCTGCAAAATCTAGGTTGCAAAATGCATCACAAAAGCAAGATGACCGCCCCATGTTTGTGATATTTTGGATAGTGGCAGGAAGTGGTGATGCATCATCCATCTTTATATACAGTCTATGGTCAGAAAACACAAGGAAATTACTTGTTTCAGTGTAGTCTGGCTTTACTCAGCCAGTTGTTCTGTTATTTTTATGTCTTTGTCTTTCTCTGTCTGTGTTTTTAAAGAACCCCCCAGGTCCAGTTAGAGTTACAACTGTGTGATGAGTGATGGTGTTTCAATACTACCAGGGTTTGTAGTGCTCTGCAGGCAGCTTGTGCCAGAGGTGACTCTATCAGATAACTCTCAGCCTGCCTTATACTAAAGACAGCTACTGAGACATTCATAGAGACGCATAATAGACCAAGCTAAATGCTAAGGCTAAGTATGTCTACATGCTTAGTTTAGCTTTTCCCTGAATAAGTCGCATCACATGTTCAACAGAGAAAGGAGAGTGTAACTTGGGAAACACAGAACAGGTTTGTAACGTACTGTGGAGGATGCGACTGATTTTGCTCCAGTGGTTTGTTGTGTGTGTGTGTGTTGGTTCAGTCGTCACCAAGGCCGGTCGAGCTCTGGCCAAAGGATGGGGTTTCATGTGGTACCGCCAGCAGATGGAAACTCCATCTGTCCTGGATACCGATACTCACCTGTGTCCACAGAGACGGGAACACAAGCTGTTCTCAGGTGGACCGATGCTCAGGACAGTGTAGGCTGATCCATCCAAAGACATTTACTCTAAGACCGAGCTGTGCATAGGTCCATGGAAACACAATAGTACTGTAGATATACACATGGGCAGAAATACAAAGTGAGACAGTCACTTCCTGTGCATAAACACATTTCCGCATGGCTGCAGAAGTTTCAGCTCTTAATAAACTTATCTGCTGTAGAAGCGAATGTGTGATTAAACAAATAATGGCTGAAACAGGCAGTATGAGTCAGAGCTGCAACAATTAGCCGAGAGGGAATTAAAATTGCCTACTTTAATAATGGTTTAATTCTCTTTTCAAGCAAAAGTGCCAAATCTTGTATAGTTTGATATGTGGGGATTTTCTGCTTTTCTCTGCTTTATGAAATTTTACATCTCTTAGTATTGTGAGCAGTTGATCAGACAAGATATGTGAACACACTATTTTGGGCTCTGGAAAGTTGCAACAGACATTTTGTTTTTTTTTTGGTGGGGGGGGGGTATGTATGTATGTGTGTGTGTGTGTCTGTGTGTACAAGTTCCTACTGTGTGATGTCAGCAGACTTCACTGTTGACACACAAGTGTGTATCACAGCGTTGAATTGTTTGTCTGACTGCCTGTTGGGGCTTGTTGGTGAAGCTGGTGGACAGTGTTGTGAAACAGGAGGAATGCTGCACCAGGATCCTGACACACAGCGGTTTTGTACTGAAGCTTCATTCAGCCATTTCAGACCCAGAGAAAAAGTAACAGGATGACATTCAGGAACAATAAAATAAAATCAGTTAAGATTTAAAAAAACAAGATAAAGTTCAGGGCTAAATCTGTTGGACGTTGTCATCTGTCTGCTGCGGCTGAAGATGTCCTCTACTGCTTTCTTTCTTGTTGAGCCTTCACTTCCTCCAAGTCCACAGAGCTGTTGGAGATGTGATCATGCCTTGCCTCAGCAGAGGTGACCCAAGTGCTGCAGATGACAGAGAACAGGCTCCGTCTGATGCTTTCCCCTGCGCCATATGATAAAGTCTGGTTTGAGATTGTTGGTCTGACAAACCCAGAAACTGGAGGGCTCTTGAGAGTTTGTTGGCTTGACTGATTGATTGGTTCATAGAAAAAATAATGAATTGTTAAAAAGGAATGAAAATAATCATCAGCTACAGCCACAGCCAGAGGAGGGTGTCGTCCTGTAACGTCCCAGAAACCCCTTTCAGTTCCTCAGTGTCAGTGAGCGGAAGCCACAGCTTCTGCATTCACACTGACCTCAGTCCCAACGATGTCAGAGCAAACCAGCAGCGCGCTGGCATTACGAGTACTGGCTGTTTACCTTCACACTGACCTCAGTCGGACTTTCTCCCTCTGTGACAGAGCTGTGTGGTTTTAGCAGGAGTAGATGAAGGCAGGAGACGTGTTGGAGCTTGTTCGCGCTCTTTATCTGTCTGGCCACAGTCCACAGGCTAATGTTCATCTGTTAAATGTTTGCCCACAGTCCTCTGTACTCTCAGCATCTATAGTTTCTAGTTTAGACACACACGCACACACACACAATGGAGTGATGCTTCATTTTCACAGTGTTTTCCATGACATAAACACAAACCCTCATTAAGACGGGTTCATTTGTGCAGCACCTTCCAGCAACAAGGCAATGTACATGGCACATAAGCAGAATGAAGCCCACCTGTAATGAAAAGCATACAGCAGTCTACAGGAAACCAGATCAAAAGATAAGGTCAGCCACAAAGTAGAACTGTATAAAAGCCTGTTTGCCATTTTACACCTGACTCAAATGTTTTCATGACAAGTTAAACTAAGGTTTGAGCAGTCACCATGTTGATGATCAGTCAACTGTGTGTTGAGCTGTGGGACAACTGTCCATCAGCATCTCACTGACAAAGAGATATTTTCTCTGATTTAAACTCGGTTTCTCCTGAAAACCTCAAAATGTGACTAGAACTGTGCATTAGAGGGACACCTTCACTTTCTTTTTCAGCTGCTCTGTTAGAGTTTCAGCTTGTCCCCGCCGTGATTTGCATGATGATGAGTCTGTGGAGCCTCCTTCATTCGATTTAACCAACACACACACACTAGCCCCTGGTTGTTGTGGCTCTGACGACCTGTTGTTCGGGCTCTGAAGTTGCTCTCAGAGGCTGACAGCTTGAGTTGGGGCTCCACTCTTAGAGTTTTCATATTAAGGCCAGTGGATTCACCCTGTAGCAGACCTACTGTGTATCATTTGGAAATATCATTTTTTCAGTGTGGAAAGTTTGTAAACTGAATGTCATCATTTATTCACTTGGTCTGTTTCCATTACACTTGATCATGTTTTCCGTTAATTATATTCCTGTTCTTTGGTTGATGCCTCAACCAAATGTAAATACTTTGTGTAATAATTCATGGAGTTATATTTCTCCACTTTCTGGTGTTTCCTCAAGTCTTTCATGTAAAGTAATCTGTATTAAGGAAGTAGAAATGTGACGTAACCAGCAAGTCATTAATGATCCTGACACATTGATCTGTGAGAATCTGTCACTGATCCTGGAAACATTTGAACCTCATCACGTCATCTTCTTCTGTCCTGCAGGATGCGGAGGCAGATGTGTTGGTGCATCGCCAGTCCCGGGCCTGGTGCTGGTGCATGTGCCTGGGCCTGGCCCTCATGCTGTCTGGAGTGGTGGTTGGAGGAGGTTACCTGTACCGCCACTACATTCTGGAGGTGAGCAGGCAGCTCCAAGAGGAAAGTAGGGTAGGTGGAGCCATTAAGCCCAGGTTGAAACAGGTGAACAGTTTTTATGTAAAGTACCAACTCCATCTTCAGTATGTGGGCAGGTTTGATGTGCACAGGCGATGGTGATCAGCAGTGGAGAGTAATACCTGCAGCCAGTGTAATTTAACAGTACCAGGTTGAATCAGCCAAAACAGAAACAAAAGAGAAAACACCTGTGTGAGATTTACCTGTAAATGTTTCCTCCATTCGCTTGTATTTCCATTTCCACGTGACCTGAACTCTCCAGCAGCAGCCACATCAGGCTGTGATGTTCATCAAACTGCAGGAAGCCAAAAATGGACAGGTGGAAAAATTTATCGCTACAGGAGTAGAAAGTGTAGTTTGTCCAGAGGAAAAGCCACGTGAGCATCTCCCACTGGTCACGAAAGGACAGGAAGTTGAACAGGTGGACAGCTACACATGCACACAAGAGACAGACTCAAGGATAGCAGTGTTGCAGCATTCCAGTCAAGGACTCGGACTCTAGTCCGACTCGAGCACTGATGACTTGGACTCGGGCACTGACTGCATTTGAACTTGAAAGTTGGAGACGAGGATTTGGACTTTGTGTGTGTGTGTAATAGGCCATAATAAGATACTGATATTAAAGGCTGGTTTCTAGTGCCATGCTGTATCAGGCACACCTCTGTTGAAGCGTACCCTCCACCTTTTATACAAATGGTTTTTATGTATCAAATCACTGATGTTCTTAGAAAGTTTAGAAAAATTGCGAGAGCTGTGTCAGTTGTGTTTAATGTAGACCTTGATGACTCAGGCTCGGGTAACAGGGACTCGACTCAGACTATTCATTGGTGACTTGACTGTGACTTCAGCACGAGGGCACTTGAAACTTGATTTTAGATTCGAGGTTTAGTGACCGCTATACCACCAGGTAGATATTAGCTGAACTGTCTCCTGCAGGATGAAGGTCCAGATAACCTCCAGAGAGCTGTGATTGGTCTAGTTGAGCTCCTGGTGTTGTATCTGCACCTGTCTGAGACAGTTTGGACACAAATTCAACATTATTATTATTTCCTAATGCCCAGCACTAGCAAAGATGCTGTTTTGTATCAGTGAGTGGAGGTCTGGCTAGTTTGTAAAGGAAATGTCAAAGTAGAGAAACAACATTCTGCTTCTATCTCATTCCTCACATGATGTGTTTTTCTCTGTGTCCCTGGTCCCTCCAGGAGGGCCAGGTGTTTGTGTGCGGGGTGGACTACCGAGAGGAAGACTTCATGATCCGGGAGGAAGAGGAGGTATGATACAGCGGAAACAGAACAGAACACAACAGAACGGTCATTGTATGTTTAAAAGTAGACCAAGCAACTGGGCGATTAATGGACTTAACTGGTTTGTAGATGGAGGTGGAGCTGCCAAACCAGTTCCAGCTGCGGCAGTTGGAGGAGAGGATCCGGGTACTGGAGAAGGAGCAGGTGGAGCTCATCAGTGTCCCCGTGCCTGAGTTCGAGGACGGAGACCCTGCAGACATTGTCCACGACTTCCAGCGGGTGAGACATCCACACACCAGCAGAGTAAACACACCAGCTGATGTACCGTCTGTGTGTGAGGTTACAGTGGAACTCTGAAGACTTTGACTGTAAACCCGCACACAGACTCCAGTATGCAAGTAAAGCAGGAACAGATACTGTGGGAGAAGAAGTACTTAAGTAAAAGTACCAGTACTACAAAGAAAAAACACACTGCAAGTAAAAATCCTCCATTTAAAATTCTACTTGAATAAAACTAATTGATGAATTATCAGAAAAATGTGATTAAGGTATCAAAAGTAAAAGTACTCCTTATACAGAAAACTAATTTGTATCACTTCATTGACATAGTCCCCATGGCATGCTTGTTTCCAGCCATTTTGTTACTCTTGGGTACCTCTATTATCTTGGTACCACTCATAACTCCAAATATTCTATCTTTTTTTTTTTTTCTTTTCAGAATAATAAATCCAAAAAGCCTCATCCTTAAAACCAGAGGAAAGTTCATGAATGCGCACAACTCCTGCTGCTGTTGTGTCGCAAGTGAACAGCACAACGAACTGTGATGGCATTAGTTAATATGAATGTCTCCTCCATAGATAGGTAAAGAATGGTATATGTACCAATGAAAAGAGATGTATAACACTCTAAACAAAGTGGGTAATTGAGAAACCCCATGTTTTAACTGGCATAATGCAGACATCGTAACTTCTCCAGTCTTACAACAATTCTCTCTAACATTACAGAAACGAGGCATTAACAGACACAACGTGTTTTTTTTGTTTGTTTTTTTTGTTTTTTTTGTTGTTTTTTTTTATTTGCCGTTAAGTCCCACCGACTAGTGGAAACATCGTTCCCTTTCAAGTAGCTCCAAGGTCGATAAATCCAACCAGTGGTCGCTGCGTCTTTCCCCACACGACCACATACAGTCCTAAAGTAGTGAAATTAATTCCAACAGGTAAAGTAGCACCGATAATAACATCATGGATCATTAATCCGCTGGTTAACCAGCAACACATCACATTCTGCAGACACACTGGCCTCAAGCAGTCAAAATGAGCTGATCATTCACTGGTACAGGGGCCTTCACAGGCTGACTGCTTGTAGTTTAGACCTGGTCAGGTAAAATAGTGAGTCCCTGTACAGGAACATTCCAGGACATGCAGTAACCTCATTTTTCTCCATATCCTCTTGTCACAGTGCAGCAGCAGGAGGTAAAATATATCCACAAAACCAGGAGCAGTTGAAAAATTCTGCTTTTACAATGGCACTGTGGATGTTTTCTTTTTTTTTAATGGTAAATGGTAAATGGTCTTATACTTGTATAGCGCCTTTCTATGCTTTTTACAGCACACTCAAAGCGCTTTCACATTATTCGGCCATTCACCCATTCGCACTCACGCATTCACACACCGGTGACATCACCAGGAGCAACTGGGGGTTCAGTGTCTTGCTCAAGGACACCTCGACATGTTGACTGGACAAGCCGGGAATCGAACCGCTAATCCTCCGGTTAGGAAACGACCCGCTCTACCTCCTGAGCCACAGCCGCCCCCATAAGCTTTAATAATAAGCTTTATTGAAAACATACATAACAAACAAGGCAGTGTAACATTTTGCCAATGTGGAGGGGGCACCGGTGGATGTCAGGCAAGCTCACATGAACGCGCAAGGGGCTGGATTTTATGCCCATTCAAGGAAATTCTTAAACTGTTTATTTTTGTAGAAAAATAGTCTTGCGATAGAGGGTTTGTGAGACGTGTATAAACCGAGTTACTTCTGCATAGAAATACTACAACATATGTTCACCTCATTTTTTGATATTTAGGTCATGTCTAAGATGATAATTCACCGCTGTAACACTGTAAATAAGTTAGAAAACAAGGAGAGGCATGCCATGGGCCATTTAAGTCATCAAAGCTTCAGCAGCATTGAAGCTCAACACCTTCTGTGGATTTTTACACATTAACACACAGGACGTTTGCACTTGTCAGGTGAAATTAGGAGTAAAATCCTGGCTCTAACATTTGCCTCACAAAGGAAGGCCTGCTCCTCACTGAGGTCGCTGAAGGTTTTTATGTTGTCAAAAAGATACCACATAGTTTTGGATTATGGAGGATGAGACAAAGGTCTTTCTAAAGATTTCCTGGTCTGTGTGTGTCTGTCTTGTCCCAGAGGTTGACTGCCTACCTGGATTTGAATCTGAACAAGTGCTACGTCATCCCGCTCAACACCTCCATCGTCATGCCTCCCAGAGACTTCCTGGAGCTGCTCATCAATGTCAAGGTAACACGCAACATTTTATTACCAAGTTAGAAAAGGAAGCTTCTAGATTGTGAAACGAGGCAGAATGCAGTGAAACCCGGGCTGCAGTGGAAACACCCTTGCATTTAATCCAGAACCTCGTGTTTTTCTTTTTTTAAACTGTTTTAATATTTTCTCCTTCTTCTTCTGCAGTTTTATAGTATTTATGCTGTATTTTGCATTCTAAGACATGAGGACAGTAGGATAGTGATTGTGTTTTGGTAACTACAAAGGGTGCAGATTAATTGCTGGAGTGGACATTTTGTGATTTTTTTTTTTTTAATGCACATACTAAAAATGATAGTGGTCCTGAAGGAGGCAGATCTTTACTCAAGCACTGCCAGGTATTAGTGGTGACATGTCAGATTCTTCGATGAATGACTATATTCTTCTCTCTCTCTCCAGGCCGGCACCTACCTGCCTCAGTCTTACCTGGTCCATGAGGAGATGATTGTGACTGAGCGCCTGGAGCACGTTGAACAGCTCGGCTACTTCATCTACAACCTCTGCCAGGGCAAAGACACCTACAAGCTGCAGCGCAGAGACAGGATTTTGGGTAGGCATGGCACATCATTCACTATGTTGTTGTTAGGTTTATATGATGTGTATGTTCAGCCTGGTACTTTAAGGTGTTTTTGAGTGATGGGCTCATGGTTGCCACTACAGCTGCTGTTCTCTCCAGTCATCAGGACGCAGTGTGTGTTCTTGTCTTCTAGCCTCAGGGTGCAGTACTGTGCCCTTACAGCTCTGTAATGCAGCAAGGCGAAGAAGATGCTGCACTGGAAAACGGACGTTTTCTTACAGAAGTTTTGCATTTATAAAGCAAAAGAGTTGTAGCATGAGGACAAACTACATATGTGGTTAACTTCCCCACCTCTGTTAATAAAGAGCAGCACACAGTGGCTTCCCAGAGGTTTTCTAAGGGAACCAGTGGATACTGGTAGTGGGTCATATCACTCCTTTTGTAGTATCTCACACTGGCTACCAGTCTGATGCAGAATTGCTGGCCCCTGCATCCTGACTTACTGGTCCCATTTCCACCAGCACACAGTCTGAGGTCGTCAGCTAAGAGCAGGGGTGGGCAATAAATTTTTACAAGGGGCCACATGAGAAACCTGAACTGTGTTGGAGGGCCGAACCAACGATAACTTGAACTTAATTCTGCTCAATATTCATTATCTCCCATTGTAAAAAGCAGTAAATTATATGTGTTGATTAGCTGCTACTGGTAATCAGAAGAATAAGCATATTCT